TAAAGTGGAAACAAAATATTCCAAAAGCATCAAATAAGTAAGTCGTAAAACAGAGCTTTTTGGACACAAAGCATTGTAGCATCGTTCCATGTGGAGAATATTAAAATACATATTGGGAAATTTTATAATGCGTTAATCATTTGATGAACCATATTATAAATACAGCATTCACGCAAAATGAAAGGGTTTAGGCCATTAGAAAGCCTTAAACACACACACTCTCTCTCTCTCTCTCTCTCTCTCTCTCTATCTCTCCTTGTTTTTTTATTGCAAAAAAAAAAAAAAAAAAAAGGATCATTCAAGTTCATTTGCAAAGAGAAGGTCTTCTTATTTGTTTTTGAAAAGTAAGTTTTCAATTCCTTTCTTTACATTTAATCCATAATGTTTTGTTTATGTTATAGTACTTAGTTTTTGTGTGGATGTTTCAAAAGTTTGTTTAAGTTACTTACAACCACAATATTTATTTTTAAGAGGAAAATTAAACTTGCACATCTAAAAATGATACTTACTATCACTCTCTGTTCCTTATGATTTTATGAGTATTAGTATTAGTATTAATGGAAAAGCATATGTGAAGATTACTGCTACTAATACTAGCGGAGTCATTTCATTTGACTGACTAAGCTTCTTAGAAGGTAGAGAGGTACCCCAAATGCAATTGGAAGTAATGTTTGTTTCGTTTTTTTAGTGTGTGTTTTTAGGTATTTTTTTTATTGTGAATGTAAAAATGTGTGTTGAAAATGTAAAAAGGTATGTTGGCATAAGATAATTATTATTAAGATAATATGAAAAAAACCAAAAAAAAAAAAAAGCAAACAAACAGAGTTATTTTTTACAAACTTAAGAGCTCCCCAAATTCTTATAGTCTGTTGTTTGATTAAATATTTAGTAGGAATCATGGAGTCCTGCCTTGCCCTTAGGCACGTGATCTACTGTTACACTCTTTGTAATCAAAGTTTCGATACATACATTATGTTTGGCCTTAAAGGAACACTTTGCTTGGTTTGAGGGTTTGGGAGGGTTTGAAACCTTTGGGTTTCATAGAAACTTTTGATGCTTGGTTCATTTTATGGCCCCCTAAAATGGAATTCATTCCAAAAATCCCATTCCCAACCATTACGGAGGGTATGGATTCTATCTTTATGTGTTTTTTATTTCTACCCCTTCTGCCCTCCTCAGAATTTCTCTCTTGCCAGCAGCCCTATTAACTCTCCCTCTAACTCCTTCAAATTTCTCCATCTTCACACCTCTAATTAGTCACCTAAATCATCTCCGTAATTCTATTTATTAGAACAAATAGGAAAAAACTAATACTATTTGCTCAAGAAATCTATCATCCCCGCAGCTTGTCAACCAGCCATGATTGCACCATCGCCGCCGCTATCCGCCACCGCCCATGGTCGCCGCTCGCTCAATTTTTCTCCAAAAATACCCACCAATTTTACAAATTTCAAACCTCTGTTCTGTTCTTCTTCTTCCACCAATCTTGTTCAAAATAATCCAAATATAGTGTTTACTATGGTGGGGTTCAGATCTGAAGCATTTTCTTATCAATTGCCAAAATTTCATAAGCACATAGAAATTAATCAAACCTGCAAATGGACTTGTCCTTCTTCTTCTTCTTCTTTTTTTTTTTTTAAAAGAAATTGTATTAGGAATTAAAATGACATTTTATATCACTTTTCATTCCCAATTCTTCTCTAACCAAGCACTATAAATGGTTATGATACTCTCTTAAAAAAATCATAGAAATTGGAATACTTTCAAACCCAATTTCTATCATATCCTACCAATTGAACCAGGCACCTTCTTAGTAGTTAGGGTGTTGATTGAATTTGGCAACATTTATTGTCCTTTTAGCAAGAGTTTTTTTGGAAGGTAATTTTTTTTTTAAGTAGCGTTAGATAAAATGTAATGTATCAGAGTTTATGGCGCTTTGAGCTTTACAGACAATTCATAATTCACTGTTCCGTTACCAAAGGGGTTGCAGACTTGTAATTAAGTGATAGAGATTTATTAATTCTTGATCAGAGACCAAGATTTGAAACTCATCTTTCTTAAAACTTTTAGCCATTTGTCTCTCTGGACTCTGATTGATATGCCAGTAATTGAGTGAGGAATAAATTCACAGGTTGATACCCTATAAATATGAAATTAAAAAAAAAGAAAAAAGAACAAAAGAATTCACTACTCTTTGATGGGCCAATTAAACACATCTAGAAGCTCCAAGAGGGCTGCAAAACGTGGGCTGAAACCCATTCATATTTGCATTTATCGGGCTGAAACCCATTCGCATTAGTTCCACTAGTGTACAGTGGACACTCTCTAAACATTTTTTTTAAAAATGGCAACTAAAACATCTATTTTATGATATGGTGCGGTAAAGGTAAAATATGACTTTTGAGAGAAAAGCTCTTAAATTGCAAGATGTAAAAATAACAAATCTTCAAAATAAAAAAAAATTAAATTCTTGACCGTAATATAAGTTTATTGATAGTTTGGGTTTCACAATGAAATAGAAGACAACACGAGCGGACATAAAAATTATTGTCTTTAAAATACTGAGAGGAGAAAATAGAAATTATTGTAGGGCATACATATGGAATCTATGATGCAACCACATTTCAATAATTTCATAAACTTCAACAGGCAAAGAAAAAGATCTTTTAACAACCCTAACTATTTGATAACATTAAGGTACACTCACCCTACAGATTCTTTTCTAAGGAATTTAGACGTTTAGTGGACTCAATACGTTTTTGATTTTCCTGTGAATTATTGGTGCTGATGGCTCACATTAGGGTACACAAATCATCGAGATATTAGAAAATCGCAATGGACATATTATCATCATCATCACATAGACTGACTAACTCTGGGCCATGTATCCTTGATGTAATCGAATCAATGTTAATTTCTCCTTCCATCCCACCATAATCCTTACATTTATCAACGAGGATATGTAATAAGCACAAAGATCATGCAACAATACATCCTTTAAGAACAAGAAATTTGTGACAAAACATTTCTAAACGTTATATAGATTACTATGCAAGTTACAAAGTGACTATCCAATTGAATAAAATTTGAAACTCCAATAGCCACAGTTACATGATATCTAATCATCAGTGATACTCCCTCCGTCCCATAATTATTGTCCTGTTTGGATTTTCACTTTTAGTACAATTTGAACTAAAAATTCACTTTTAGTACAATTTGAACTAAAAATGAAAACTCAAACAGAACAATAATTATGGGACGGAGGGAGTATATTCTATGTCTCCAACAAAATTTAGCTAATTTGGTAATAGATGTAACTCCCTCTATCTTAAATCAAGATTTTTTTTTTTTTTTGTTCCGTCATCTCGTCATGAAGTATACACTGATTCTGCATTTGCCTATTTCAATTTGCAAAACGTAGAAAGGAACTAAAAAAAGAAAGAACCAAAACTATCAATACTAACTCTGCCCATCATCTCATCATCAAGGTAGTTTAGTAATTGAATACAAATATCGAGAGGGAACCTGCAACCTGCAAGATTGATTGAAACAGAAATCTTATATATTTTTATCAAAAAAAGAAAAAAGAAAATAAGAAATCTTATATAAATTAAAAGGGTTCTTGGATCCATCACCTCTTATTTTGTTATTACAACCTTTAGATGCCTCGAAAGGACCAATTTGCAGCTCCTACTGGTCCCATTTTTTTTTTTTTTATACAAATTTGGTCATATAATTTTCTTTGTTTTAATTTAGAAAAATTTATAAACAGCAGCCAAGTGGTAGCATTATTTTAGTGATGATTGATGTCTCCACCTTTTTTTTTTTCTCTCTTTTGGTGGAATCATTTGAGAGCTTGAAATATCAAACCTTTTGGCACATTATAACTTTTGTTTTTATTTTTTTTTTTCAAAAAGGGACGTTATGATTATTGATGTAGTACTTTTATCACAAATTAAAATAGAAAATAGAATACTGATGCAATAGTATATTTTTTTTCCCTTAAACGTTACGAGGATGATGTATGTTATTTACAATGTAGACACTTTGCTGATTGTTGCATGGTACATCCGTTAAGCTCATATGCAAAATCATCAGCTTCTCAACAACAACAAATATCTGTCAATCATTGAGTTAGATATGGGCATTTTTGAAATTTGACTTCTCAATTTTATTTTATTATTATTATTATTATTATTATTTTCATTTCTTCTTATGGGAAAGTAACTTGGACCCTCGAAAGCAGATTTTCATTGAAAGTGTGCTAAATGTAACCATTTTTAGATGTTGTTAGTTGTTATTATTAGCAAACCTAAATTCCATTCTATCTCATTTCTGTGTATACAACTAAGTGACAACAAAATTAATAGAAATTTATCATTGTTTCTTTTTCCAATATACATATCATTGAGAGCCGATGTAAAAAAAAGAGGAACTATAAATCGGGTGGGAACTGAACCGGATACATTCCCTAAAAGCATAGTATCATAACCATAAAATTGCCATCAACTCACAACTAAAACATTATCTGTATAAAGTGAAAATACAATTAAAAACACTTATTTTGATGTCTATTTAACATCAGCATCGCCATCGAAAAAACAAAAGTTAAAAATATTAATATTAAACAAGTATTGAATTCCAACTACGGACTTAGATCGTTACAAAATAAAAACATGATATAAATTACTCATAGCACCAACTACCAAAAACAAAAAAAAATCCTTGATTCTCCATGATTCACCCTAGATTCAAAGAGGATACCCGGCCCAAGTCTAAAAAGGATACGACAATAAACACACACCCACTTCTCAATTCTTTAATGATGAATCACAAATCCCAATAGGGCCAAGAATCTTCCGTAATTCACGTGGCACTGGCCCATTCGTGTGATTCCATCAGCGGGCCAACCGCCCACCAATCATTCACCACCAAACCTAGGCCCACACCCTTCCCGACGACTTTGCCTTTTTTTTTTTTTTTACTAATCGCTTCGCCGATTCTCTCCCTCCATCCAAACCTCTATAATTACACCCGTCTCCTTCCCTAATCAAAAAACACAGAGTCACACACTGAAGCAAAGACATAACAAAACCCAAAAGTCTCCATTTCAACTCTGCGTCATCTCGTTTTCAAATTCAGTTTTCCGAGTTTATCTATAAATAGAAAATTGTTTTTGAGTGTAATGCAGCAAAAGGGTCGATACGAGAACCGTAGATCAAGGTCTTTTTCTAGATCCCGTATCGCCATTGAAGGTCATTAGTATCAAGTATCATTTCCCATCCTCTGTTTTGAGGTGAAGTGATTTAATCGAAATTAATCGGGTTATAGCAATCCGGTAACTGTAATTGTAGTTATTTTGAACCCATTTGCCCCAATTAACTGATAATCAGAATTTCTGCCATGGCTGCTGCTGAAGGTGATGTTATTTTCTTGTTCATTAATTTGCATTGAGGTTTTCTATTATGTTCGGAATTGGTGTTCAATGTTGGACTTTTTGAATGTGTAGGAGTTGAGCGTGAGGTGCAAAAGAACTACTGGATGGAGCATACTGTGGATCTTAGCGTTGAGGCCATGATGCTCGATTCCAAGGCTGCTGAACTTGATAAAGAAGAACGCCCGGAGGTACATTTCCCCTCCCTTTTCTAATTCCTATTCGTGTTCATTTTCTTTTCCTATTCGCCCTGTTCGTCATGAATTTATGATCCCATGAAGCCGTTACTCTTCAATGGTCTTCCTCTAATTATAAATCTTTATTTTCTAAAACGCCATATCATGTAGTAAAATTAACGCAAGTGTTTTAGGTTTGCATCCAAGTTTAGTTCATCATTTCTGAGCGGTTATTAGTAATCATGATTGTAGTTTCTGAAATGTTCAAATCTTAATGTCAAGAACTAGTGAAAAGCTAATTACACCATGTGAACAGTAATGTGTTACTGAACAGTGGTGATTCATGCTTGCATTTCGTTGAGTTTAGCTATCTCATCCCAAAAGTTATGGCCATAAACTTTTCGCTGCTCGTCATTTGGATGTAGATATCTTTTGACTGTCACCCTGCTTTAGTTGATTTTGAATTGGAGATACATACAAGTTCACTTCCCTTCCCTCAAATTATTGGTTCTGCTGTTTTCATACATGGAAGCCAGTACTGTATTTACAGCTCTCTCATCTTGGTGGTCTTGTAGGTGCTCTCTCTTCTTCCACCATATGAAGGGAAATCAATTCTGGAGCTAGGGGCTGGTATTGGCCGCTTCACTGGCGAGTTGGCCAAAAAAGCTGGCTCACTTGTTGCTCTTGACTTCATTGAAAGTGCCATAAAGAAGGTTTGTATGCTTTGCTTTGATAAAATTAGCTTTTCATTACCATGTTACTTGATGTGCATCCGTTAGTTCTTTCGACTTGGATCTATCTTTATATTTACCGTTGGATATGCAGAATGAAAGTACTAATGGGCATTATAAGAACACCAAGTTCCTTTGCGCTGATGTGACCTCCCCGGACTTAAAATTTTCTGAAGATTCACTTGACTTAATTTTCTCAAACTGGCTGTTGATGTATCTCTCTGACCAAGAGGTGAATTCTCCTTGCTTTCGACTAACATATTCTTGATTCTGGGTCATGAATCTCCTTTCTATATACTATCCAAGCCCGCCACACAGGGGCTAGGAAACGATCGCACTTGTTTTTTGTTAGAGACTATCAATAGATTTGTAGTTCCTGTATTTTTAGATTGAATGGTGTGTGAAGTTACATTGTCTCTCTTTGTTCATGTCTCTACTTCACTGCTTTGAAGTGTTATTCTTATCGCTTACATTCATTTGATTGTTGCCAATAGCCTCATCTATTAACTCCCCATGGTTACGAGTATGCTCAAGAAATGTTTTGGCCCTAATAATCTTTCTCTTTTATCAATGACGTTACTAATGAAATTGCTTTATTTAATCTGCTTTAGGTTGAGGCCTTCGCAGAGAGGATGGTTAAATGGCTGAAAGTTGGTGGGTACATTTTCTTTAGAGAGTCATGTTTCCACCAATCTGGAGATCACAAAAGGAAAAACAACCCAACTCATTATCGCGAGCCTAGATTTTACACCAAGGTTCTTACCAACCATCTTTTGTGACTAAACTTTCTAGCTGCACCTACTGTTGCCAAGCACTATGAGATCATTTTTTTTTTATTTTTCTATAAACTTTTTGGTGCTTGTGTTACAGTTATATTCCTAAGTATATTCAGTTACCTCTTATTATTGCCCTTGGATGTAATTTTTACATAAATAATGTGCTCTTTAGGAATGTACAAAAGATGTTTGGTCGAATCTCATCTGAAATTAAAGATATGTTTAATCTCCTGGTTTAGCTTCATATTTCTGTCATTTCATTAAATCTGGCTTCTGTTTTCAGATTTTCAAAGAATGTCATTTGCAAGACAGCTCTGGAAACTCTTTTGAACTTTCTCTTGTTGGTTGCAAATGTATAGGGGCCTATGTGAGAAACAAAAAGAATCAGAATCAGGTAGTTTGAATTATTTTTGCCTTCTTGGTTAGTGTAATCTATACCGAAAACAAAAAAAATGATGCATTATTTCTGTTTGTTTTGGAGTAGATATGCTGGCTGTGGCAGAAAGTAAGATCAGAGGAGGACAAAGGCTTCCAGCGTTTCTTGGACACAGTGCAGTACAAATCTAGTGGCATACTCCGATATGAACGCGTTTTTGGACAAGGATTTGTTAGTACTGGAGGAATTGGTAATAAATCTCTCTTTCTGTCTGCTGCCTTTTGAAACTGAGGTCCACTAACTATGATATGTATGCTTAAGCAGAGTCAATGTCTTTGGTCATTTGCCAAATTTGTGTATTTCATTGTGCTGTAATAATAATCAGTGCCTGATCTCTGAATATTGAATTGAAGTGCTTCCAATTGCAAATGCTTTTTAAATTCCTGTGAAGATTGACTTCTGCTGGAATTTATTTGTTTTGTTATGCAAGTCTGTTTTCAACCTTTCATATTATTGGGCAATTTGAGTTTGTTTCAAAGATTTCTGGCCAATAACATTTACCCCATAAAGTTAATTATGTTTAAATTGGAACTTCAACTGCGTCGTGCTTTGGTTTCACTTCCTATTCTCATCAAAACTTCTCTGATCTTGAGCAGAAACAACAAGTGAGTTTGTGGCTAAGCTGGATCTTCAGCCTGGAGAAAAGGTTCTAGATGTAGGTTGTGGCATTGGTGGAGGTGACTTTTACATGGCTGACAAATACAATGTCCATGTTGTTGGCATTGATCTCTCAATTAACATGGTCTCTTTTGCACTGGAACGTGCTATTGGCCTAAACTGCTCTGTTGAATTTGAGGTTGCTGATTGCACCACGAAAACGTACCCTGATGGTACATTTGATGTTATCTATAGCAGGGATACTATTCTCCACATTCAAGTAATCTTCTGTCCTTCTAAATGGAGCTTAATCTTTAACATAATCATTGATGTCGTGGATGCTTTCCATTTATTTTATTCTGGATTAGTTACCAATATTCAAACTGTGGCTATTTGTACAGGACAAACCTGCACTTTTCAAATCTTTCTACAAGTGGCTGAAGCCAGGAGGTAGAGTGCTGATTAGTGATTACTGCAAGAAAGCTGGAACTCCTTCAGAAGACTTTGCTCAGTATATCAAGCAAAGAGGATATGATCTGCATGATGTCCAAGCATATGGCCAGGTTTAAATTGCCTTATCTCTCCCGCCTCCTCTCCCTTATACACAGACGCTCACATACACTCCCAAGTGTATTTGCCTTATACCTGTTTGTCTTGTATTCAGATGCTCAGAGATGCTGGTTTTGATGAGGTCATTGCTGAGGATCGAACTGATCAGGTGTGTTTGCTCCTTCCCTACCAAACTTTCCGGTTCTTGTCTAATCTTTTGTGTTTGTGTTGCTTTCTTGTTGTCACTTAGTATGATACTATCGATCTATCTTTGTTTCAGTTCATGAAAGTCCTTCAAAGGGAATTAGAGTCAGTGGAGAAGGAAAAAGAATCATTCATTCGGGACTTTTCTGAAGTGAGTGGTTTACTGTCTAAAGTGCTCTTACTTTTGCTTTAAATGATTACTCACATGGTGCGTTATTGTGATTCAACCTGCAGGAAGACTATAATGACATAGTAGGTGGTTGGAAGTCCAAGCTGGTTAGAAGTTCATCCGGTGAACAAAGATGGGGTTTGTTTATTGCCAAGAAGAAGTGATTTTTTAATGTAATCTTTTACTACTTTGTCTCAATGACATTTGGTACTTTCTAAGTCGTATGTTTCCAGTATTGCCATTTGAGATTTGGGCTATGTAATAATATGTTGAAACTCAAGACCTTCGATTTTGTGTACTATGCTGTTGTTTAATGTACTCGATACTATTTGCTTGTGAGATCATTGAGTAAAAATTGCCAAATGCAAACACAATGCTGGCGGTTTCTCGATACTTTAGTTTGTAGATGTGATTGGAATCTTTACACAGCTGTGTTGCTGCTTCGTGTTTTTTTTTTTTTTTGGATGGCCCAGATAGAATTGAACTATAAAATTCACATTTCTCATCGTTTAGAATATTATTTATAATTTATTCATCGTTTACAACTGATACTGCACAGCGCACGGGACTAGGCCCAAATGTTGAAAATTCATACCAGTGTCCACTTTTCATAGTCGATATAGTAAAGTCGACAAAAAAAAATTAGTTTTCAAAAAGGATTTCGTCTGAGATACACTATTTTGAAGAAAAATTACTTCTCGAAACTCCTCTGTTCCTTCAATGGAGACAGAGGATCCGATTCCAAATGGATCATGACAATGAGAATCCAGCAACCAAAAAGGTAAGGAATCGAGATGACGCACCCTCAATTCCGTCTGAGGAAATCTCAATCGACAATTCGAACGCTCCAAATCAAGGGAATGCCCCATCCTTTAAGAAGTCTCTGTTACAAGACCAACAAGGGAAGAACAACAAAGGCTTCCACCATGTCACTGTCACAACAGAACCAGGCGATGTGACTTATACAGTTGAGGATGGTATGCCTGCTATCAACTTTGCAGACCGGATCAAAAAGAGGATGGAATATGCAATGTCTTACTCACTTGTTGTACGCTCCTTGGGGAGGAACTTCAGCTTCCTGGCTATTGAAAAAAGGGTCTCTTCACTCTGGAAACCGAAAGGGAGGATTAATCTTGTGGATTCGGTTGATGAGTATCACATCATTCGGCTCACACATGAGGAGGATTACTACAATGCCCTTCTCAACGGGGCCGTGGACCATTGTAGATCATTACATAACTGTGCTCCCTTATACTATCAATTTCGACCCGAAGACGGAGAATTTATCAGCGGTGGCAACGTGGATTAGGATTCTGGGACTGCTGGTTCATTATTTCCATGAGGACCTTCTTAGAGACATTGCAAACCTGTGGGCAAATACTTGAAGGCAGATAACAATACGCTAAAGGTGGAGAGGGGGAAGTATGCCTGTTTGGCGGTTGAATTGGATTTAACGAAACCCCTAGTCAGAAAAGTGAAGGTGGACGGGAAACCTTATACAGTTGAATATGAGGATCTTAGAAGGATTTGCTATGATTGCGGTAAATACGGGCACACCAGGGATGAGTGCAGAGAAGCTCCGACGAGAAGTTCAGACCCGGCAGCTCCGGCGGCATCGGAACACTTGCCCCATCTCAACGAACCTTCAGCAGTCCCAACGGCTGGCCAGCAAACGGGACCCTCAGACTCCTCAACGGTCGACAAAAATTGGGAATGGGCGGCGCGACTACCAATGCAATATAAGCAATCCCCCAATATGGGTGAGTGGAGCCACGCGCTAAAACGGGGAAGAAGAATGGGAAGCAGCAACCCCCAAATGCCTAACCACAAAACCACCCCCCAAGAAAAACAAGCAAGGAACCAACAGGCCCCCTCCAACCCCTTTGCACCATTAGCGAATATGGCTTCTGAATCGACAGTCCTCAACGGTAAATGGAAGGTAAGTCCAACTCCTGTAACTCATTTTAATGTTGACTCCTCTTATGTTTTCTCATCAGGGAAGGGCCGAGTTGGTGGTAAGGAGACAGAAGCATCCAAGGGTGGTAAACAAGGCCCAAGTAATAAGGCAGTCAAACGTAAGTAAGACTTGCTAGCTCAAGACAAAACTGGGGCTAAGAAGCCCACACAACCCAATACTACGGCCCATGATACAACCCAAAATAAATCTCACAGACCTACGACCCACAACGGCCTGACATGTGATGTAGAACAATCTTTCCCCCAACAGAACATGACACTAACAAACGACACTGTGCTCCCTAACAATCAAGTAACTGTAGAGAAATCAGAGGTCCCTTCCGCCGGAGATTCGACGGTTGCTGCTGGGGAAATCACAAAACACTCAGCGATTCAAATTCCCCATCCCAATCCACGTACACCCAAACCAACACTCCCTTCTACTCCTACCTCAACCGATTTAATGGCAATAAACAACCCATCACCGGCTGCTAGAAAACCTCCCGATCCGGAGCGTGGTTTCCACCTCAAACCCCAGCTCAAAATCCAGCTGGGTAAGGGGGAAGAACCGCCTGACAATAATGAATCATCTATAGAAGAAGCAGAACTGAGCGGTGATGCAATGGTGGAGGACCAACGGAGGGTGGCCAATGAAGACCACTGGTCCAACGCCGATTTGGAACAGCTTCCGGACGCCGATAAGTAAGTTCCACCCCTCTTTTTGTGTTATTAATGGATTTAAAAATCTTTGCTTGGAATTGTCGAGGCTTGGCAAACCAAGAAACGATTGCAATGCTTAAAGAAAAGATTAGACTGCTTAAACCGCAAATTGTTGCTGTGTTTGAAACACGTGTGAACGGCAATGATGCCGCTAGGATAATTCAGAGTATTGAAATGAAGAACTCTCATAGGATCGAGTCAGTGGGTTCTCCGAGGGCATCTGGCTTCTCTGGAGAGATTCTGTCTCAGTAGAAATCCTTCACAACGACTGGCAATTTATGCATACAAAAGTCTGTTTTCAAGATAACTACTCGTTTTTGTTGACCACAGTGTATGGTAGCCCGCAAGTGCTAACCAGGCGTATACTGTGGGAGAATTTAACTGTGTTGGCAGGTACGATTGAGGAACCGTGGATGGTCGTAGGTGACTTCAACGCGTTCACGGAGGAAGCTGATAAAGTGGGTGGCCGAAAATCCAAAGGATGCAGCAAATTTCGGGAATGGATTGCTGGGGTAGGGATGTTTGATTTGGGTTTTGAGGGTTGCCGATTTACGTGGAAAGGGGGTTCAATCCATGAACGTATAGCTAGAGCTCTAGTAAATGAAAAGTGGGATGAATTGTTGATTCGGTTGTAAAACACCTCCCCCGAGTGAACTCAGATCACTCTCCATTGTTGATCAGGTTTAATGCCAAAGGCAGCCTTCCGGGTGAGAGGAAATTTTTCAAATATTGGGTAGCGTGGGAGTCACATGATAAATGGGAAGAGTGGCTAAGGCAGAATTGGAATACTAATGTGTTGTTCCCCGAGGCTCTGTCGAAACTCACCGAGCGACTAGATGATTGGAAATACAACGTCTTTGGGGACATTAACAAGAGAAAGAGTAGACTGCTGGCTCGGCTGGGGGGTTTGCAAAGGATCCTGGTGTCAACTCAGTCGGCGAGGTTAAGGAATTTGGAGAAAGAATTAAGAGAGGAGTACGAAGCTTTAGTAACTCAGGAAGATCTTCTAAGAGCTCAAAACGTGAAGGCTGTGTGGCTGACACGGGGTGACCGCAACACTAGGCTTTTCCATTCAACGTTTAGAAGCAGCAAACATAGACAAAAAATCAGAGCAATGCAGCTGGAAGATGGCTCTTGGGTCTCGGACAATCGAAGACTGGGGGAGGAAGCCAAGGCTTTCTTCAAAACAGTTTACACTGGGCCAGGTACTGGTTGTAGAGATTATGGCATCAGGGGTCTGTTTCCACCCTTAGACCAACAAACCAAGCTGTTACTAGCAAAGGAAGTTAATGATGAGGAGATAAGAGCGGCAGTGGCCGAAATGAATAAGTTTAAAGCCGGTGGGATCGACGGGTATAATGCAAGCTTTTTTGTACATAATTGGAGGACTATCGGCAACTCGGTTTGCAACTTAGTCCGTAACACTTTTGAAATAGGACAAGTTGACCCGAGTATAAATAAAGCGTTAGTGGTGCTCATTCCGAAGGTGAAGAACCCAGAAAGATTCCAGAACTTACGTCCGATAAGTTTGATTAATGTGTCTGCCAAAATCATCGCGAAGGTGGTTGCGAATAGGTTGAGGAGGGTGATGCCTTTGTTAGTTCGCCCTACTCAATCTAGCTTTGTCCCGGGCAGAAGTATTATTGATAATATAGTAGTAACACAGGAGGCAGTACACACAATGCGAGAAACCAAGGGAAGTAAAGGTTGGCTGGCACTTAAAGTAGACCTAGTTAAAGCTTACGACAAGCTCAGCTGGGATTTTCTTGCTGATACCTTACAGGATGCGGGAATTCCTTCGCTATTACGACAGGTTGTTATGAGTTCACTACATACATGTACAACACAAGTAATATGGGACGGTGTGGTGGGAGAGGAATTTAAGCCTACAAAGGGGGTTCGACAAGGCGATCCACTTTCGCTTTATATTTTTGTACTTGCTATGGAAAGGTTGTCCCAAGCCATCAACATTGAAGTCCGTAATGGGCGTTGGGAACCATTGCTGTTTGGAAGGGACCAGTTGGAGTTATCATACCTTTTGTTCGCTGACGATCTAATTCTTTTTGCGGAAGCAACAAAAGAGCAGATTGAAGTGATTGGTGGTACTATGCAAGAGTTCTGTAGAGTTTCGGGGCAAATTGTTAGTCAAGAAAAATCAGTGCTCTATGTTTCTCCTAATATTGCACTTGATCAAGCTAATTTGTTGAGTAATCTGTGTGGTGTCCAAAGAGTTAACAATCTCGAAAAGTATTTAGGGATCTGATTATCCATGGGAGACTTAAGAAGGCTTTATATAGGGAATGGGTGACCAAAGCTCGTCAGAGAGCGGCGGTCTAGAATCCAAGTAAAATCTCCATGGCGGACAGACTTACTTTGTGCCAGTCGGTACTGTCCTCCATCCCTGTTTACCTTATGCAGTCTGTTGTACCTTCCAAAGGGGATTTGTGACGAGTTTGACCAAGTTACACGTGACTTCTTGTGGGGTACCAAAGAGGGAGAAAGAAAGATGACTTTGATTAAATGGGATGAGGTATGCCAACCAAAGGAGAGAGGTGGTTTGGGTATGAGGAAAATGCGAGATTTCAACTTGGCTCTGATCCTAAAGTTTGCATGGGGTTTGATTTCCAGAGAACCATTCTTGTGGAAGGATGTTCTCGCAGCCACGTACGAAGTGAACTTAGAGACTCTTCCTAATGATATCTCCAGGGTCAAAGTTACGTCCCTTTGGAAACAAGTGTCGAAATTGTGGCCAGTAGCTTTAAATGGAATTCGATGGTTGGTGAACGGTGGGAAGAGAGTTAAATTTTGGTGTGATTATTGGGTGGAGGATTTTGGTCCCCTAGCATTGCACACGAAGAGGCAGATTCTTGCAGCTGACAGAAGCAGAAAAGTTATAGAATATGTGGATAATCATGGGGACTGGGACTGGTGCAGATTAAGCGAATTATTACCTGTAGTAATCTTAGAAAGAATCAGGGTAGTGCCTCCACCAGAAAGAGGGCTAGAATCGGATAGGCCAGTGTGGAGATTTACAGAATCATGAAAGTTCTCTACCACATCAGCATACAAATTGCTGGCAGAGGACAAGTGGGATGAGGAGCAGAAACATTGGAAGCTGATTTGGCAGTGGGAAGGGCTGGAAAGAGTTAAATCATTTCTTTGGTTATTGATGAAGGGAGCACTCATGTCAAATGCGGGGAGGAAAAGAAGGCACCTCTTAGATGACAGTGGTTGCCACTTTTGTGGTGGTGAAGAAATCCTGCTGCACATCTTTAGAGATTGTTTCAGGAGTAAAGAACTATGGAGAAGTCTCAATGCATCACTGGGACCTCCTTTCTGGTATGTTATGGATATTAAGGAATGTATGATTACTAATCTAAAATCCTCTGTTTTGTAGGAGCAAACTCTTTGGTCTGTGTGGGTCAGGTTAGGTTGTTGGAAACTGTGGAACTCCAGGAATAAAGAAATATTCGGAGAGGAAATAATGATAGTGAGGGCAATCAGGTGTGCGACGCACGCTCTTGTAAAAGAAGTAGCTCGTTCGAACCTGATTTTTGCACATGGTTTGAACAGACGAATTAGCACCACACAGCAACAGGCCTGGACACCACCTCTACTAGGTTGGGTCAAGATCAATACAGATGGCGCCTCCAACAAGGTCTCGAACAAGTCAGCGGCAGGAGGGGCAATCCGAAATGATGAGGGGCTTTGGATTATTGGTTTTGCAGCAAATATAGGCATATGTTGCAGCATGGAGGCAGAACTATGGGGTGCTCTCTTTGGTTTACAAATTGCGTGGGACCTCGGCTTTAGAAAAGTGGAATTAGAATTGGATAGTTCTAAAGCTGTGGAGCTTTTGTCTAGCAAGGTTGCTCTATATTGCCAGAGTAACGTAGTCAGTAGAGTTAGAAAACTTCTTCACCTTAATTGGCATGTTTTGGTTAGCTATGTTCGTCGCCACCAGAATAAAGTGGCCGACGAGTTAGCAAAATTTGGATTCTCATGTCCAAATGGTAGACATATTTTGTCAACACCACCGACTAGCGTTGTTGAAACCTTAGCATCTGATCAAGCAGCTGCTACTCTATAGCTGTAGAGCCTTTTGTAACTAAGCCTGTTGGCTCCCATTATATATATATATATATATAAAGTCGACAAAAAATAAATTAAAATTGATATATGAGTTTTAAAGACATTTACACCACGTATACATAAGAAATCTCTAAATTAATATATATCTTTTTTTGGAACCATGGCGGTACTTGGCGGGATGACACCCGATTTATTGATTTTTTTTTATAAAAATGATTTGGCAGTGCCTAAAACTTAACAAGATACATTAATATTCTATAAATTAATAAAATTCATTAAATAATAAAATTTTTCAATAATTAAATAAAATCTATAAATTAATAAGATAATAAATTTTCAAGAAATTACTATAGAAATATAGGTCCCTAAAAATTATAAATTAATTATGATATAATTTATAAAATACAAAAAAAACTAAGAAGCTATTGAGTTTTGTTTGTTTTTTTTTTAATTGCAACTTACATTTAAGAAGATTTTATCTTTGATTTTCTAACCAGTAATTAAAAATAACAGGATCATAAATTTGGAGTAATACCTATATAAGGATGGCTCCCGAGTCCCTTCTATATATATGCGGTTAAGTCCACGAACTACGAGGGTTGAATCCCTAATACAGTATCTCATCTCTTATCAGATAGCTTACAAGGCTTTACCAATGTCTCCAATCAACTCCAACGTCTTACAAGGTTTTACCAATGTCTCCAATCAACTCCAACGTGGGCGATAGGGCTTCACAGATGACGCAGGCTTCTTCCACCTCTTCTGAGGTTAAGGGGTTGGGAGCTGATTTGGCATACAATTGAAGATTTGGCGGCGGACGCTTCTAAGCTTAAGGTGGCAAAAGGTTCAAGTGAGGATAAAGATGCTCTGATCGAAAGGCTACTTGAATATGTCAAGTAGCAAGCCTCTGAGAACAAGAAGTTGGAGGAGGATTTGGATCATACGCTGGATAAAGTTTTGAAGTTTAATGAGGTTTTGAAGTCTAATCAGGCGGCTATGGAGGAGCTCCGGATGGCTAAAGCCCTCATCATCAAGGGTCTCTCTTCAAAAGTTTTTTTATAAGGCTTATATGGAGGAGCTCAAGAAGGATATTCATGTGTGAGAGAGCCCTCCTCTCTCAGAACTAATGCTTAGGGTTTAGGGTTAGGAGCTGAAGAAGGCTGCGGGTTTAGGGTTTAGGGTTTCAGTTTCAAAACTAATGTTTCCGAAACCAAAATGATGAGAGCCCAAAACCGAACCTTTAGATTTTGGTTTTGGTGGTTCCAGTTTTAGAACTGTTGGTTTTGATTCGGTTTCGGTTCTGATTAATGACGATTTCACAATATATTTTGTAAATATTTATTTTGGAGCATATGTTTTGTTTATATTCTGAGTTTTTGAAATTAAAAAAATAGGATACTAAATTTATAGGGGAGTGTGGTTGAAGTTGAGTAGTTATTGTTTAATAGAATTGAAAACAAAAAATCTTAAAATTAATAAAAATATTATTAATTTATCGGTAACTAATAATCTCTACAAACTAATAAATTTTTGTGAACCCAATATTATTAAGTTAAAGAGTTTTTATGAACAAAAAAAAAAATTCAACAAAAGTGTTTGAAAGTATAATAATAAATGCGCAATTTTTTTCTCATCGAGATTGTGAAATAAGATGATATAAAATAGTCAATAACAATTTACACATCTATCGATTGTTTCGATGACATAGAAAAGTAGACAAATAAATCGATGAGTTTTGAAAAGTAAATTATATTAACGTCGACTTGTGTGTCGAGATATCTATCTCGACAAAACCGTGTTAAACTCATCAGGGGGTACGATACCCCCCGTTCGTCACGCGAGGAAGTTTGTAATCTCGAGCATCTCCAAGGACCACGTTTATCCCTCCAACTTTCGCATGGATCTTAAACACGAGATACTCAATACAATCCCCCTCCCACTTAATTACTTTCTTCATATCACAACACTGAGAAACTACTCCTAACTCAGTATCACAAAAACATTTTAAAACTCCCGTTGAAAATAATAAATTAGAAGCTAGGTTACTTAAACTAAGATTTTAGTAAATTTGCAAAGAAGTATTAAGAGACAGAGTTAAGTTTTTAATGAAGGCACGCATACTTCATTTACTTCATCTATATTTATAATACATAAAAGCACATCTGCATATAAAGCCAATTGAAAACAATAAACACATCTTTGCTTTGTCACAAGTAACTTTCACACATCAAGGATCACAATTTAACTTACTTCTCACATTAGTTAAGGTTTTTTGTTGTCGTTGTTGTTGTTGTTGTTGTTGTTGTTGTTGCTCACATAAGCTAAGTAATTGCAACAAGGAAAACTCAAAACAACAAATAAAACAAGATGAATCTGAGTGATAAAATCAAAAAGTTTTCAAATTCTAACAGTAGGCAAAATACTAAAATTTGCGAAGAAGATTCAGAAAGATTAAAATATAGACAAACATACTAAAGAATGCAAAGAAAATTTACCATAGAGTTAACTCTTTCTGGTCAGCAAAACAAATACAAAAAATGCCGGCGAATGATCTTCAAATTTTTCACGCAGAATATCTTGAAATTTGTTACAAGAGAGTTTCTCTATCAAACGAGGATTGGGGAATGCCTCCTGCATAACAATAAAAATAGTTTAAAAATTCAATTCACATTAAAAAAAAGCTAGGGTAAAATATACAAACGTACCATATTGTATGTTCGACATTTTTTTCTAAGTGTAGTACAAAATTGATCAAGTGCATCGTAAGAAGTGTCGGCCAAATCAAAGCACACCCAAGAATTCAATTTCTGTGCTTTGTAGAATTTTAAAAAATAATATAGATGTGTAATTTAAATTTGTTTTTTCTTGGGTGTATAAATGCACAAAAAATAGTTTGTTTATAGTATAATAAAGTCTCAATAAAACTCCATAAATCAATAATTTATAAATTAATAATTTTTTATATTCTTAGGTCAGCTTGGCCAATACAAAAAAAATAAAAACAATCTATAAAATAATCAAATTATTATTTTCCAAAAAGAACTCATGAATTACATTGCCCCCCCCCCCCCAAATAAAATTAATTGATAATTACACAAAATAAAAATAAAAAATTTAGCAAGATTTATTAAAATGTGAATATTGAGATATTTTTTTTGTTATTAAATTTATATTTATAGTACTAATTTAAAAATTAAATTCATATAATCCAAACTCGACTTTATCTACTGATTTTTAATAATTGGAAGTTTTTTTTCAGAACAATTTCTCTAAATTTAGTTTCTAATTTATCAATATGTTAATAATTATTAATATAATGTACTGATTAAATAACATATTCATAAATCAATAAAATTGGTCATGAAATTATTCATTTATTGATGTTTGACCGATTAGTAACTAACTAAATAAAAAAAGAATAAAATAATTAGGAACATTTAATTAAGATATGAATATACGGGATAGTTTGCTCTTTTTTTTTTTTTGAAATTTGCATCTAAGGCGATAAATTTAAAATTAAATTCATATAATTCATACTCAAGTTTATCTCCTAGTTTTTAGAAATTGAAAGTTTTTTTTTCAAATTTTTCCTTAATTAATAAGTTATTAATTTCTAAGAAAATTAATAATTATTAGTTTATAAGAAAATATAAGCAAAGATAAGAAAAGCCATCCTTATAAGAAAATATAAGAAAATTATAAGAAAAGCCATCCTTATAAGAAAATTATTTTCTTATATTATAAGAAAAGCCATCCTTATAAAATCCTTAAAGCTCAGAACTTTCTTTGCTCTTTCATCATTTCCTTAATCCCCTCAAACTCCCAATCCATTCATTTCTCAAATAAGGACATGAATTCTAATCCGTGAACGGTGAACCCAAGCAATCCCCTTTTTTCTTTTTTTTTTTCTTTCTTTCCTTATACCAAAGAAGCTTTCAGAAGTCTGCCTTT